AATAATTTAAATGATCAAGGTGATGTTCTTTAAGGTCTTCATACTTATTCGAGCCGGGACGGAAAATAGATTGCCACAAAAATACAATAGCATCAATTTCCCGACATAAGATGATGAGACGCTAGTTTAAAAAATTGATAAAATTTAAATAATTTATATGTATTCTAAAAAGAAAGAGAAAATTAAAAATGGTAACTTACCTTGCAAACTTTTACGTAAGTAGTATCATTTTTAATGTTATCCGTGTATGGCTTTACGACATTTTGGAGAGATTCCTTAAACTCTGATACGTTTTTATTTTTATATACAGGAACTTTAACATGTCTAAGGAAATTATATCCTGGATCTACAATGGGAGCGATCTCAAAGACATTCATCCATTCAAATTTTGCTGAATAAGTTGAAATATGGTTTACTAATGAACAGACAGCTAGTGATAATATTTTAACGGCACCATGAGGTAAGTCATTCACGTTAATATTCTTAAAAGCTTGTAACATATCGTTTGAAGGGAACTTTTCTGGAAGAATGTATCCATTCGGCATATAGCTTTTATCAATTTTCTCATTTATTAAATAACCCAGCAACACGCCTAAAAATATTTTTTGTTCAATAATACTTAAGGTATTAACCTCTTTGAAAATAAATGATTCTAACATATCATGATTCAGAAAGTTGGGTGGTCGATATACGTAATATGTTACTCAAAGAACCTTTAACTCTTTTAGATTTATCTAAAATCTCTAATGTAACGAATAAGCATATTCATAATTTTAATGATAACTGCTGGGCAATGATGGGCGCATTATCTTATGCTGGAGATTTTATTTCTTGGCTTCAAATGATTGCAGAAGGTGATTTAAGAAATTTAATTAACGGAGTCGACGATAAACGTGAAATTCATGAAGAAACCGTTGCTTCATTAATCGAAGTTAAACAATTCTTAAAACCTCTTCTAAATGATATGGTAAAACTTTCTAAAGAGGGAAAATCAACACATATTATCATAACTAAATTCCTGGATCACATTCGTGAAATAAATTTGAAGAATGAATCTTTACATGAAAAAATTTCACATTGTTGTTCAAGCAATCTTGCTCTTCAAAATATATACTTTAGTATAGTTAATAGAGGAGAAGCAACTAAAGAACGTATTAGAGATGCTGCTACTAGAGGTTTATACAAATTCTATCGTGGTAAAAACCATGATAAGTGCATGGTAAATTTACATTGCAAAGACAAATCCGGAAAAATAAATACTTATGA